AAAAAAAAAAAAAGAATACACAATGTTTCATAAATAAATTCCATTTTTTGGATTCCCCCTAAGCTGTTCAATCGACATGTTAAAATTGTAATCATATTCTTCTATCATAGCTTATAGCACCCCCCCAATCTATTTCTTATGTTTTTGTCACATATCTTTCTGAATCAAGCTTTACCCATATTTGAGATTATGTCCTTATTATATAGACCCAGAAACGGCAGAGTGAAAAGATCAAATTCTTCAAACAAGTCACAGCAATGCTGGCTAGCAATGCATCAACACACCTGTTTCACCGGCCTTACCAATACTACATACATTCTGTTATTTTTCATTCTATTAAACTATTTTCATTTTAACTTTAACTCCACCGGGTTGTTTACATATTGGCATTATATACCGGAGAATGCCTTCAGTTGAAATGCATCAAGTCTCAGTGAAATGTCAACTGCATCTATCTCTGGTAAAGGCTTACCTGAAATGCTATGAGATAGCACAATGCAGCCAGCTCAGAGAGAGCTCGCCATTGTATATCACTATGCTGACCCATCTTCAAAAGCAGAGAACCAGCATGCATGTAGAAGTGTCCTTTCATTTCTAAGAAAGTAGCTGACAGTTCATCATTTCCACCAACAGAAGATTTCACAGACTGAAGAGCACTATCAAAACTGTAATATTAACATATTAGTCCACACCACTGCATCGGGAATAATCATGGTTTCATCATTTAATTCAAAATAAAGTCATAAAACGAATAAAAATGTATTTCAACCTTTGCCTTCCACATTCAAACTCCTAATAATTCTTATTCTCCATTTTATAAATTATGAATCATCTAGTGCTTGTTATCCTGCATTCTTACTATGCTTCAAGTATAAACTTTAGAATAATGTTATTTCCAGTCTTCCAATCACAGAATACAAATCAAATAAAATCAGTGATTACAGACAGATATTAGTGATTAGGTGGACATTTCATAATAAATCAGAATAAAGTTGGGAAACTATTTTCTAGGTTCTTTCTGATCATGTGGCTTCATTACTTAACTACAAGTTGAAGTTTCTTAAATTAGACATGTCATTTTCAAATTATAATAATTGACAGATATTTGGGTACCAATACCATAATTGCTCTTGTTACTATATAATTACAGAGTTCTAAATACATTGTATGTCCAACTATTATTTCTAACCTCTATTCTAATTAGTGCTTCTAAACCCTAACAATCCTCAGAACCATCATGATGGAAGAAAAGCAAAAGCAAACACTAACATGTGAAGCATGATTTACAGTAGGTTATAATAAAGCAAGCCAGGCATGGTGGCTCACGCCTGTAAGTCCAGCACTTTGGGAGGCAGAGGCAAGAGTAATGCCAGAGCCCAGGGGTTGGAGACCATCCTGGGCAACTTGACGAGACCTTGCCTCTACAGTACATCAAAAAATTAGCTGGGCGTGGTGGCACACATCTGACATCTATAGTCCCAGCTACTCAGGAGGCTGAGGCAGAAGGATCACCTGAGCTCAGCAGGTCAAGTGCCACTGCAATCCAGGCTAGGCAACAGAGTGAGGGGGGGAGGGAACGGGGGAGGGGGGAGTGGCAGGGAAGGCAACAGGGATTTCTTCCAGGGGTGAAGGCTGGTGATCTCTGAGGGATCCATGAGGTTAAAATTATTACTAGTACTAAGACATTTTTTGACTTTTATATTCTCATTTTCTCATGTAGCTATAGCTGAGTTTTCCAGAGGCTTATGTTAATTGCTTAACAGATTAAAAGTGAAAATCAATGAAAGTCCGACTATGTTTTATTAAGTCAGAAGCTAAAGTGTTTACAAAAATGCAAAACAATGCCACTCTTGTAAATTTTTGTTCTTTTGTAAAATAATTGATGTAGGGTGAGGTAAGTGGATTGCCTGAGCTCATGGGTTCAATACCAGCCCAGGCAAGTTGGCAAGACCTCATCTCTACAATAAATCAAAAAATTAGCTGGGTATGACGGCACATGCCTATACCTCTAGCTACTTGGAAGGCTGAGGAGGAAAGGTCGCCTGAGCCCAGCAGGTTGAGGCTGCAGTGGCCATGAGCATGCCACTGCACTCCAGCCTAGATGACAGACTGAGACTCCAACTCCAAAAAAGGAAAAAAAGTAAAGGACCAGGCAAAAAGTTAAGCTAATCTAAAAGTTAAGTTAGTTTTTTTGGATATTGTCTTTACCCTACCAATTTAGGACACTAAGATTTTTTTCAAGAAAACTAACCAATTCCTGCACTCAGTGAAATGAACTTCTTTCCTTATGCCAGACAGGGAAATGGACAATCTAAACCAGAGATGAGCAAGAGTTTTCTATAAAGGGTTGGATATTAACCTGGTTTTACAGGCATACAATCTCTGTTACAACTACTCAATAGACCCTTGTAGTGTGCACACTAACAAAGAGGCATGCAGGTGTTCCAATATAACTTTATTTATAAAATTAAGCAGCGGGATGTATTAATTTGGTCCACAAGCTCTAATCAGCCCCTGATATAAACTAACATCTTTATACAAATTCAAGTTGTGGTTTTGTTCAATGGAATTTATTTTTACAAATGGTGATGGCTACTGGTTTTTCAAAGTCAAAATTTAGGAAAAAAAGAGAAACTGTATTATAATTGAGCATTTTATTTTAGTTTTATTTCTAAGGTAAAACAGTGTTTTTCTGAAATACTAATGATGGTAAGTACTTATTCTAATACATCTAAACTTAGCCATCTGATAGATGAAAAACTTCATTATCTAATTTTCATTCAAGATTATCCCATTTTTAAAAATAAAATATGAAATAGCAGTTACAAAATTCATCTTAAGGATTAAGACATCATTAGGCTTGACAAAACTGAATATTTAACTATAAGGTTAATTTTAATCAAGCCTGCACTTTATAAGAATTCTCTAAAAATCAAAGTCATATAAAACCAATTACAACACCCTTTATAAAAGCAGTAAAAATGAGATTCCCTCCAAGTGGTTCATCAAATTAACTACAACTCCTGGATACATTATAGAAAGCATGGTTCAGTAAAGAAGTTTAGAGCAATGAACTGAATTACTGATAAATGAAAATCTGTAATTTATACTGTTCTCTCCAGAATCAACATACCTTTCCAGTAGTTCTCTACTTTCCTGAACATCTCTAATGGAAAGTGTAAGAAGCATGAGATTAGCATAGGCCAGAAGTAAGTCACTAGTGGTTGCTTGCCAGTTACTTTTATCAGACTCCAAACACTGCGAAGATTCTAGATATTCCTGTTTTGTAGAATGAACAATAAGCTATAATCACTTAATCAAATTTTAAGAAATTTAGCATTTCATACCTACAAATTCCTTTGCTCACTCCCATCACATTTGTGAAACTTAGTGGATTTTTATATCAACTTTATCACCTAAAACACCAAAAATATCTATTTATCCTATTTATTGCCCCAACTTCCCCATTCTAAATTTAAATGATCCTGGTAAAAATTTCATTTCATAGTTGCTCTACATAAATAAAAGAAATCTAAGTTTTGGGGGGGCACTGCGTACAGAGATGCATGCTAATTGTCTACACAGAAATATAGAGACCCAACAATTTTTACCTACCTTAAGAGTCTGTACAACACACGAATTCCATTCTAAACTTGAACGCAAAGCTATGTTCTTCTCTGCCTCATGGCAGTGGTCCACAGCATCCTTCAACCTTTTATTTGAGCGATATAACTCTACCAGTCGGATGTTCACATGGACATCATCAGGCCTTGCATAAAGTTCTGATTGAATCAAGTCAAAAAGTTTATTCCATCCATCTTCACCTTCACAATCTAAAAGTTGTTCCTATTTGGAGGAAAAAAATGTCAGAATAACACCTGTACATTTGAAACAAGTCATGGCCCCAATTAGCACATTCCATGGTGTCTACCTTTGGGACAATGTCACCAAAAGTACCATCCTATACACCTTATCAGTCCCTTCAGAGAGGTGCTTACAAGCAAGAAGCTGAAAGTCAAGATTGCCATGTAGGGAGAAGCACCTGCAGCCGCGCATTCTCACCTCAGCGACGACCAGGACCACTGCCCCACTTCCCCGCACACCTCAGGCACCACTAGAAGCCGAGGGCTCTCCAGTCAGGCCTCGGTAACAGGGTTGCTCCAAACTGCTTTCTCTCTCCACATCTGACTCAAACCGCCACCTGCTCCGCTGCCTTCACCATCTTCTCAAGCACTGCCATCACCTCCTGACCTTACATGGAGGCAGCAGCTACCATCCTAGGATAGCTCCCGCTACTTCTCTGCCAGAACTTTTTCTCTCTGAGTCTACACGCAAGGAAAGAAAGAGGGGTTTGTGGCCTACTCACTTTCACTGCCACCTCCAAATCAGAGCTCCTCCCACAACTTTGGTAAACTTTTGCTCTGCAACTGGAGTAAGACATATCCCTAACTACTGTCACTAGCATTAGCAATTTAAAGATGTGCAAAACATAAAATAGCTTAGCTACTCAGTTTGTTAATCACCTCATCTCCAGTCACTCTGTCCTCCACTCCAACCTTAGCCATTCACTTGTCACTGACACAGGTCTTCAAAATCTGGTCCTACCGCTCAAATCACACCATCCTCCTTACTGTTCTTCCTCACTGGGGGCACACATACCCTCACCACCACCTACTCCCTCCTCCAACACATGAAAAGCTCCCTTAAGAACACAGACATCAGCCGGGCTCGGTGGCTCAGCCTGTAATCCCTCGCCTTGGGAGGCTGAGGTGAGTGGACTGCCTGAGCCCGCGGGTTCGAGACCCGCCTAGGCAACTTGGTGAGACCTCATCTCTACAATAAATCAAAATATTAGCCGGGTGTGGTAGCGCGCGCCTGTAGTTCCAGCTACTTGGAAGGCTGAGGCAGAAGGATCGCCAGAGCCCCAGCAGGTAGAGGCTGCGGTGGCCAGGAGCGGCCACTACGCTCCAGTCTGGGCGACCGAGTGAGACTCCAACTCAAAAAAAAAAAAAGAACACTGACATCACTCAAAAAAAAAAAAAGAAGACTGACATCACCAAGTATTAATTACCCATAAAACAAACATACATACACAGAAATATTTTCTTCTCTGTAAAGCAAAAATGCCATACTCTCTGATATCCATAATTAGTTTGCTGACAGGTACAGCTGGATGGTGTCTTGTCTGAACCTCATGTTGAAGTGTGATGCCCAGTGTTGAAGGTGGGGCCTGGATCATGAGAGTGGATCTCTTATGAATGGTTTGACGCCATTCTCGTGGTAATGTGTTCTCTATTTGTGCCCTCAAGAGCTGGTTGTTTAAGAATCCGACACTCCTCTCCCTCTTGCATCTGTTCTCACCAGCTCCCCATGCCTTCTGCCATCAGTAAAAGCTTCCTGAAGCCTTGCCAGAAGCCAAGCAGATACCGGCGACATGTAGAAGTGTGAGACAAATAAACCTTTTTTCCTTATAAATTACCCAACCTCAATTATTCCTTCATAGTAACACAAAGCAAAATAAGACACAGACACCCTAAATTAATTCCTTTCCTCAGAAGGACCAACTGCTTTCTGTGTGCCTATACACTAACAGGTGAACACCTGGGGACAGACACACGGAATTTGAAAGACCACAACCCCAGACTAAGTAATTTCACGTTCATCATCTCAAACCTCCAACTGGAACTGCCTAGAACAAAATACCATGTTAGCTAGAACAGAGTCACTCTCTTCATTTCCTGGAAAGAACACTTCATACTACTCCTGTTTGCTCAACTTGCCCACACTTTCCTTTAATCCTCACGTTCAACGCAAAATCCATCTCAAGTCATCCTTCACTGAGGAACTTCAAGTCACCATCCGTAAATTCCATCTCACCTTACCTAGCTGCACTCCCCTTACTCCCAAGCCTTCTGCCCGGCAAGGACCAGCCCTCCACTGGTGCTCTGCGTTTCGTTCCCCTCCCTCCTCCACCAAGTTCCTCCCTTCTTCTAGGTCATTTCCATAAACTTATACCTGGCCTTTCTGTATCTGCAAAAGCCCTTGTCTTTAACCTTATGTTAAAAAAAATGACAACACCACCATTATAAACGCTTTTTAAAAATTCTCATACTTGGCTAGGTACAGTGGCTCACGCCTGAATCCCACAACTTTGGGAGGGTGCGGCGAGAGGACTGCCTGAGGTCAGGGATTTGAGACCAGCCTGGGCAACCTGGCAAGATACAGTCTCTACAATAAATCAAAGAATTAGCTGGGCACAGTAGCACAAACCTGTAGTCCCAACTACTTGGGAGGCTGAGGCAGAAGGATTGCCTGAGCACAGCAGAGCAAGGCTGTAGTAGCCATGAATGTGCCAGTGCACTTCATCCTAGGCGACAAAGGGAGACTCTGACTCAAAAAAAAAAATTTAAAGGAAATAAAAACCCCAGGTGAAAGTTTGCTACTGAAAAATAATTTCAACTCCAAATATTAGAAATGGTTGTGTCTTAAATTTTCTCCTTTTGTTTTTAGTTTTTTACCTTTAGTTTATAAATTGCAGGACTTCCTGGGAAAAGTTTAGCTGCTCTTTCAACCCAATACTTTGTTCTTCCATCAGTAACATCATTTTTACAAAGCAATTCTGCAATCTTCAACACAAGATCTTTTTGTGTTGGATTTAACTCCACTGAACGCTGACATTAGAAGAGAAATAAAAAATTAGTAAATAATAAATTACGAGTATGTATGAGTATACACATTCATGCAAAGTTATTCACTGTACCCATTAAAAACTCTATTCCTAGATGACAAGTCATTTCAAGGTTGTTAAAATTTCAAGTGTCTTGACATTTTCTGAAAATGAATCAAATAACAATTACGTTTTTATTCAGTGAATGCAAAAGCACACACAAGAACACCATTTCTGACCATGTTAGATTTAAAATTTATAGGTATTAAATAATTTTAAACCTGTTCCAAGCTGTGTCACTTAAGGGTACCATGATACCAATGCTTATTTTCATGTCATCCATAAAATACATTCAACTTACTCTTTATATAAGTTATTCTGGGCATCATGTGTTTGGCTGCACAAAGGCTACGTTTTAATCCTATAACTTACCTTGTAACATTCAATAGCTTTATCTGTATTTTCCTCCATTTCATAAAGAAGACCCAGAAATCTGTGTGCTTTGGGATCCCTCTCTTGCACATTAATATATGTAGATATGTATCTGTTTTAAAACAGTCGTACAAAAGTAAATAATCTTTAAATTATTAAATTTAGCTCACTTCTGAAAATGGAGGATAGTTAAAGGAAAATATAGAAAAAAATGATTAAATTTAGAAATGTACTTAGCTACCACTATGTATGCAGATAACTCAAAAGTATTCATAGAAAGAAATTGTTAATACTTAAAACACAAATCAACACACAGACTTGATGACATACTCATTTTACCATGAAATGCCCCATTTACCAAAGGCTTTTTCCAGTGTTATCCACACATAAGAAATGAACATATAAATTGCTTTTTCTTACTGATCACATTTTGGTAAAGCACTAACAAGGTTTGCACATAAATTAGGAAAGTGATTATAGTAAAAATTTTTTAAGTGATCAGAATGCAAAATACTAAAAAGCAGTAACTTCCCAAATGACAACAAAAGGAATATATACCCCTTAAGCAAGACAATAATTTCTAACAGTACAGTACCTAGCTGAAATCGAACATAATAAAAATTACTAAGTACCAAATATAGATAGTAACAACCAAAAATAAGTAAATATCCTCTAGATTCAGTGACAGTGTTATCATAAGAGAAATCAGACCAGACCTAAACCAGTACAAGGCTTAGCAGTCCCAATGCTACTAACTATACAAAGCGGGGGTCCCCAACCCTCAGGCCACGGACCAGTACCGGTCCTGGCCCGTTAGGACCTGGGCTGCACAGCAGAAGGTCAGCAGCAGGCAGGCAACGCAAGCTTCATCTGTATTTACAGCTGCTCCCCATTGCTCACTGACACCGCCTGAGCTCCACCTCCTGTCAGATCAGCACTGAAAAGCCTGCTTCCTATCTTTGTGAAGCAGGGTTTTCTGCAGTGACAGCAACCGAAACAAGATGACGAAGTAGACTGGACATAAGCAACACATCGGGTGTCACTGTCTCCCATCGTCCTCAGATGGGACCGTCTAGTTGCAGGAAAACAAGTTCAGGGCTCTCACTGGTTCTGCATCATGGTGAGTTGTATAATTATTTCATTATTACAATGTAATAATAATAGAAATAAAGTACACAATAAATGTAATGCGCTTGAATCATCCCGAAACCACCCCCTCCGCCCTCCCGATCCCTGGAAAAACTGTCTTCCACAAACCAGTCACTTATTAAAATGTTGGGGCTTGCTGGCATAAAGTACCAGCTTCCCATCAATGGCTTTAATGGTGGGCCTTCCTCCTAATTTCCTGCTTTAAGCCATGCCAAGTCAGTAAACCAGAATCACCAAGCTTCTCAGCCCTAAGAGAGAGACAGAGCCTCAAAACATCATATATTCGGTCCAATTAAAGACCTTTTACACAACCTATTCTCCTGCTTAGTAATCACTGTTTAATGTTGTATTCATTGTTATTTTCCAGCAGATTAAAGTATCCATTCTCTAACCAGGAAGATATTAAGATACAGGCTTAGCCCTCTTTTATTCTAACCCACGACTATTTTTAGAAAAAGTGCTTTAAGTCAAACAATTGCTTGCCCTAGGTATAAACAAGCAGCAGCACACAGAAAATACTCACTGCAGGCTCAGTCTCAATGGAATCTAGGCTGGTCCTTACCATCAGTCTGACTAATTTCCTGCTTTAAGCTGTGCCAAGTCAGGATACGCTTAGGAAGAATTGCTAAAGAACATTTTTTTTAAACCTATTTCAAAGAAGAACATGAAGAAAGGCACTGATTTTAGAAAACTAATGCATGTTTACAGTTTGTACTTACTTTTTAGCAAGATCATATTCTTTAGCTTCATAATACAGCTTCGCAAAATAGAATCCTTTCATTGACTTCTAAAAAAAAAAAAGTTGTTTTACTTTTCATATGGAAATATTTGCTAACTTTTTTCAAAAGGAGTGAAAATTGTACTAACAAAATTGATATTAAAATATTAAATTTCTGTTCACTTAAACGGTTAAAAAAGCTAGGCATGGTAGCTCGAGCCTGTAATCCCAGCACTTTGGGAAGGCTGAGGCAGGAGAACTGCTTGAGTTCAGGAATTCAAGACTAGCCTAGGCAACATAGTGAGACCTCATATCTCCAAAAAATACAGAAAGCATTAGTTGGGCATGGTGACACATGCCTAAAGTCCCAGCTACCGGGAGGCTGAGGCAGAAGGATCACCTGATCCCCAGAGGTTGAAGCTGCAGTGAGCCATAATTGCTCCACTTGCACTCTAGGCTGGGTGACAAAATGAGAACCTGTCTCAAAAAAAGAAGAGGTTAAAGAAAAAAAGGTTTAAAAAATTGCCTAAAAACATACATGTATACTCTAAAAGTTAGGATTCCACATTTTTATAACTCCTATCATAGGCCAGATACAGTGATTCACACCTGGAATCCCAGCACTTTGGGAGGCTGAGGCAGGAGAATCACTTAAGTCCAGGAATTCAAGACCAGCCTGGGCAACATAGTGAGACCTCGTCTCTACAAAAAAAAATTAAAGATTAGCCAGGCATGGTGGTGTGCGCCTATAGTCCCACCTACCTGGGAGGCTGAGGAGGATCACCTGAGCCCAGGAGGTCAGAGGTTGCAGTGAGCAGTGATTGTGCCACTGCACTCCAACCTGGGTGACAGAGACTCCAACGCAAACAACAAAAAAAATCCTATCATAAAACAAAAAAATAAAACCAAGAATAGCATGACAAAAGCAGACACAGAGGCGAGGAACTTATAACAGCCTTGGAAACCTTAGAAACCCTGTGGCATCACTGACTTTATAAGAAAGTAAACAGAAACCAGCTTCTCTAGGGGAGGAGAGGTACACTAGAAACCTCTCTTCTCCAGCCACATGTAAATGGCTATGGGGAAGAATAAGAAAGTACTTAAGACATGTGAATGCACTGGGCATTCCCTGGTCCATGTACTGTTCTCTCTACAGATCAGATTAGTATTTTACACCAAGAAACCAAAAAGCAGAAATAAAAACTGAATTCTTCAGGTTATATGCAAAGGTCACACCCTGTCTCTTTATTTCCATAAACTCTAAAGCCCAGAATGCTGAGACATACATATTAAGTCCTATCCATGTGATAAACAGTACACAGAAAACAAACATTTTATTTTTGAAAATTATACTAGGTCATGGGGAGAAAAAAAATCAATATATTAAGTAAAAAAAGCAATCTATGTAGTAGTATGTTTTCAACTGCATGTTTTGAGTAGGCACATATGAAAACGCTAATTACCTCTGATTATAGAATCATGTAGCAGGGCACAGTGGCTCATGCCTACAATCCCAGCACTTTGGGAGGCCAAGGTGAGAGGATTGCCTGAGCCTATGGGTTCAAGACCAGCCTGGGCAACTTGGTGAGATCTCATCTCTTATACAATAAATCAAAAAATTAGCCAGGTGTGGTGGCGCATGCCTGTAATTCCAGCTACTTGGAAAGCTAAGGCGGAAGGATTACCTGAGCCCAGCAGGTTGAGGCTGCAGTGGTCGTGAGCATACCACTGCACTCCAGCCTGGGTGACAGAGTGAGACTCTGACTCAAAAAAAAAAAATGTTATACTTAAGGACTTTTTATAGTTTTCAAATTTTCTATAATAACCTACCATCACTCACAAGTATTGACACAATGTGATTTCTGCCCAGTGCTCCTAATGTCAAAAACAGAAATTCCATGAATGCAGTTGAACAGTGGAATAACTATGATTTTTCTCCACCTAATTAAAGGGTTTTTTTCTAAATTTCGAGTTAATTTTAAGGTCAACATAAAGCTTTTCTAAAGGAAGGAAAAGGTGCCATTAAAATCAATCTTTGATAAGGTTAAAATTCCAAAAGAATAAAATCACTGAAACAAAACATTACATTTAAGTACAAACCTGAAAGTTACAAGCTCTGCCACCCATCTAAATTCTTTGTACTTTTGTACCAGGTCTTTTTGGAAATTCTGCATTTTTTAGGAAAACCAAAATAGAAATATAGTTTGTTTCCTAAGACCCACAAAATTTAGCATTTGTTCATGGTGCCTACTACTAACCAAGCACTGTTACAGACCCTGAGGAATCAGCAGTAAACAAAAAACCTTTCTTGACAAACGTGCCCTTTAGTAGAAGTGACAAGCAAACATGTCTATAAAGGGAGCAGGAGAGGGACACTATCTCATAGTATTTCATCAAATATTTACAGTTCACCATATTTTAACAAATCTGGAAACCAATATTCATCACACAAATCACAAGTAGTCTAATGCCGTAGCCTTTGTTGTTGGCAGTGTTTTTTCTTTCTAGTTGGCAATAAGGGTGAGGTGCAAACAATGGCACCTTAGATTCTATAGAAGAGACTGGTTGTCAGGAAGGGTCTCTTTGAGGGTAAACTTGATCGGAAACCTGAATAAAGTGAAGAAGTGGTTATCCAGGGAAGACTAGATAGCACATGAACTATTATAATAACTTAACCGTCCCCACTGCTTACTATACAATCTGCTTCAACTTTTCCTTCTGATAAAACCTACAGAAGACATTCTTACATCACACTATCTTTGTGAAATACTCTTTTCATGACTTCCAGCCACCATGCTACCCTTAGTTTGACTTCTCCAACCCTTATGCAGGCTCTTCCTTCATATTGACCTCTCCAGGAGTTGGAGCTAAGACCTCTTCCTCTGAGGACATCTTACCTGTAACACACAATCTGGCTACTGACTATATGTTGACTCTCAAATACTTATCTTTGGCTCTCATCTTTCTTGAACTCTAAATTCAAATGCAAATTATCATCAACAAGACCTGTGTCAATTTTAGCTTCTATGTATCTCAAGCCATCCATTTTTCAACATCTCCACTGCTCCTACCAAACCTGCTATGACCTCTCTCTGAGACTACTAAAAAGCCTAATTTCTTCCTGTTCCTCTCTGTGTATTTTTTCTCCCATCCAATCCATTCACCAGATGGGTATCATTTTAAAACCTAAGACAAGCCGGGCTCGGTGGCTCAGTCTGTCATCCCGCGCCTTTGGGAGGCTGAGGTGAGTGGATTGCCTGAGCCCGTGGGTTCGAGACCCGCCTGGGCAGTGAGACCTCATCTCTACAATAAATCAAAAAATTAGCTGGGCATGGTAGCGCATGCCTGTAATTCTGGCTACTGGGAAGGCTGAGTTGGAAGGATCGCCAGAGCCCAGCAGGTCGAGGCTGTGGTGGCCGGGAGCAGCCACTGCACTCCAGTCTGGGTGACAGAGTGAGACTCCAACTCAAAAAATAAAAATAAAAAAATAATAAAATAAAATAAAACCTAAGACAAATCATGCGATGCCTTTGCCTAAAATTTAAAATTCTTCCATGGCTTCTATTACATTTTTTAAATATCCAAGTTTCCCACCAAAGACTAGCATAAAACGATGCCTACCTCTTCAATTTCACTTCATCTGCCTTCTGCATGTTATTCTTTTAACGAGTGACTAAAACCACACTGCTTCTCTCCAAATGATATAGCCCTGGGAGTCCAACTATTCATCTACAGCAAAGGCCACACCAGGTACTGTGGCTTACACTTGTAATTCCAGCACTTCTGGAGGCCAAGGTGAGAGGACTGCTTAAGCCCAGGAGTTCATTACCAGCCTAGGCAACACAGCAAGACCTCATCTCCATAAATTAATTATTTTTTAATTTTAAAAAAATAGTTAGACCCCGACTCAAAAAAATAAAAGAAAAATAAATAAAGCAAAGGCCAACAGCAGGTACTGATAGGATGTGATCTGTGCCCAGTATTCTCAATGTCAGAGTAAAGAAATGCAAAGAAGGTAGGTAAAAGGGAGCCAAATTCCTCCTCAACTGTCTTAGTGAAACCAGAACTACGGGATGGGCCTGAGGGAATAGACTAAAAAAAAAAATCCTGTTGAGCATGACTCTAGTCTGGCACAGTGAAGAGACAGGACAGGTGTGGAGTAAGTGGGATGCCCCAAGTGCCGCCTATCCCACCTCACCTGTCTCCTACACCATGAGGAGGTAAGGACTGGGTCCAGTACACCTGTCAAAAGGATAACAAAAGTATCCTCGGTCAAACTCAGGGAAAACAGAAAGTTCCACCGGAGAAGGGGGAAAATTTTATGTTATCTTGATTTTCAGCATAAATCCAGATTCTGAAAGAAGGACCTAACAATCCTTGATTTTTTTAACTTTAAACCGGAGGTGTCAGAAAAGTTACAAACGACTTTGGGAGGCCAAGCATTCACAGAGATCAACTTATTGGTCCTTTGTGAAAGGTAACTGACTTATCACTGGATTGCTCCCTCACAATACAGACAGTTTTAGACCTTCATAAGACAGGTTAGTATCACTCTGCTAATGATGAGCTGTTTCCATAATAACCCTTCATAGTACAAGAGGAACTGCAGTTCAGACATTTGGTGTAGGAGCTACTGAATCGATGCTAGTATCAGTGAAGTTTCAACTGGCTTCGGACAGGGGCTTTCCCATTCCCTTCTCTGACCGAAATAAGTCCCCTTTCGTTTTTTTTGTTTTTTTTTTTGAGAGAGTCTTACTCTTGTCGCCCAGGCTGGAGTGCAATGGCACACTAACCACCACCGTAGCCCTGACCTGTCGGGCTCAAGCGATCCTTTCACCTCAGCCTTTCTAGTAGCTGCAACTATAGGAACGAGCCACCACGACCAGCTAATTGTTTGATTTATTGCTGAGATGAAGTCTCACCAAGTTGCCCAGGCTGCTCTTGAACCCCTGAGTTTAGGCAATCCTTTCACCTCTGCCTCCCAAAGTGCTGGGATTACAGGTGTGAGCCAGTACGCCAAGTCCCCCAGTCCCTCTTCATTGTTAATTCCCACGACGATCCTGCT